AAAAAAAAAAAAAGAAAGAAAAAGAAAATCAAGTAGCTTCCAGAAAGCAAGAACATAATAAATTTGGGGAGGACCTGCATGTCTAAAAATGTCCTTATTCCATCGTACACGTGATAATTTTAGTCTAATTTGAAATGATTTTCCCTCATAAGTCTGAATACTCAATTGTCTTCTAGTTTCTAGTGCTACCATTGAGAAGTCTAATACCACTCCTGATCTCAATCAAGGTAACTTATTTTTTTCTTTCTGAAGGTAGAGTTTAGGAATTTTTTCTTAACCTCACTATTCTGAAATCTCGTGATTATGAAGCTTAGTGTATATCTTTTCTTTCAATCACCAGGCTGGAGTACTAGGAGAAACCTTTCGATCCAAAAATGTATGCCTTTGTGCTGAAAACTTTTTGGAGAATTATTCATTTGCAACTTTTCTTCTATTTCCTCTGTCTTCTCTTGCTACCAAGTCCTAATATAATAAGATGGTGGATCTCCCAGTTTCATCTTTTTTTTTCTTCCTATCAAACATTACCTTGATTTTTTTTTGTTCTACATTCTAGGAGATTTCATTAACTTTATCTTCCTACTTTTCTACTAAATGTTTTCTTTTGGCAACTGTCTTTTAAATTTGTAAAATTCTCTGAATTCTCCTTTTGAAAATAGTATCTGTTCCTTTTTCAAGAATTCATTACCTTTTCTTCTCTTCAGGAATGTTAATTATATCTTTCTCAAGTTTACTACTTCTCTTCATCTTGTCTCTATTTCTATTAATTCATCCTCCTTTTTTTAATTAAATATTTTGAGATAATTGTAGATTCACATGCAGTTGCAAGAATACAGAGAGACCCCAAGTTCCCCCTTTACCTAGGTTCGCAATCCACCAATTTTATTCAAATTTCCCCGCTTTGGCTCGGCACCTGTGGCTCAAGCAGCTAAGGCGCCAGCCACATACACCTAAGGCGGCGGGTTCAAATCCAGCCTGGGCCCGCCAAACAACAATAATGGCTGCAACCAAAAATAGCCAGGCATTGTGGCAGGCGCCTGTGGTCCCAGCTACTTGGGAGGCTGAGGCAGGAGACTCGCTTGAGCCCAGGAGTTGGAGGT